TTTGGAAACCTTTGCTCTGCAACAGCACTTTTTCAGTGCAAAATGTTTGACAAATTCATACAGATTAGAATTGGCCCAATGATCACACCCATAAAATAAGTCTGGATGTGCACTGGAAGCTAAACATGCAAAGCAGTTTGTTGAAGAAACGAGTTACAGCATAAGTCACCTGGTGTGTCCTGGCATGCAAGCTTAACTTCATTCAAAGAGGGTTAAGTGTGGTATTTTTGAGGTCACTTCTGTTTCACAGACTGGAGCATTAAACATATTTATTGTAACCCTGTTTGTCCTTATACCTACCATCTTTTCTAGAAGCATTTATCTTTTCAGCATTTATTCTCTCCCTGCTAGAAATGAGTGCTATTTCATCACCTTGCTTTCGATTGTTGTCTGACATAAGAGGAAAATTCCAGATTAATGTATTCATTGATAGTGAAGTTGACAACACAGGGCTGCTTCTTGCAGTACCAAGTAGTGTTACTCATCTCTTAATCTAAGCATTGATTACACAACTGCCTTGCCAATTTGTACAGTTTAGTATCTTCATAAGGAGAGGGGAGAGAGCCTTTTAGAGAGGAAGGGAAATTCTCTTAAACTGCATTTTCAGAAATCCATTGTTGTCTTCTTACACCAGAGACAAAAAAGCCCCCTAGATGTTGTTGAGCAATTGTTAGATAGCACTTACAAGAAATGGGGGTTTTACTATTTAAAAAGAGAGATTTTCTAGACAATTGGGATAAATAGAAATATTATGCATGCTAAACTAATTAGTGTTAAAGAAATAGACTTATTATTATCAGTGATTAACATATGTTAGATTGATGATAATGTGAGCAATTATGCAGTTAATTGTTTAAACAACATCACCTTGTATCACACATCAAATCTTCATTTGACAAATGCTGGTACTGTTATAATTACTGCATTATTATTATTCTGGGTCATAAGTGCTGGCAAAGCACACTTTTCACATGCAATTAAGTTTTGACACTTTTATCATTAACCTAAAATACTTAAAACAAAGCTTTAAGATTATTAGGTTCTTCTCTCTACCCAGGAGTATTACTAGCAAACTGTAAGAGAAAGCTGATCAATTCCCAGTTGTAAGAAGTATGGTGGCAGTGCTCTGAGAGGTTTTTGTGCTAAAGAAAGTAGGGCAATCTCTAGGAGTGATGAGATTATGGCATGGCTGTAAATTGTAAAAAATGACACTTTGGTTTAAGTCAAATACATACCCTTTACATAAAACTTTGAGTTTGCCACGTGCAAGGATTTTCCTCTGGACAAAGGACCCAAAGATGATGTCTTCCCAAGGAAAGAATAACCTTCTGTGTTCACTCCAAGAGCTACTAGAGATTCCTCCAGTGTTTCTTCAGGCCTCTGGAAGGTTCGTACACTTGCCGCTGAATTACTCAGAGAACAAGCCTATAAAAGGAGATTAATTTGTTTTGCAATCAGTAGTTGAACACCTTCTAGCAATAAAAGGTGAATGCTTTTTGAGCTTATGTTCAATTTTTTGCAGAATCAAGCTGATTCTTTTCCCAGACCAACTAAACTTGAGATGCAAGACATTGTCCCCTCCTGTAATTTTCTTAGCTGATATATAAAGCGTCACTTTTAAGAAATTACATTTAAAAAAAACTAAATTTGAAACAAGAAAATTGACAGAATTTCTTCTTAAAATATCAATACAATATGAAGTAGACATGTGATGGGAGGAAAGAAAACTATTAGCTAGTCTAAAGAATTATTAGTTGATCCAATACCAAATTCCCTGAACAGAGGAATTTTCACTACTGAGATTTCAGGAGTGAAGGGTTTGTTTCTGTATGGCTTTTAAAGAGAAACTGCCACCTAGGGGTTTCTTGTGTTCTCCATCATGCATGAACAAACCATGAAGAAACAACAAATTATGAAACCAGGTTTTCCATTTGAAAAGTCAGTCTGCCAAAAATTAAATGAAAAGATACCACCAAACATGAATATAGGCAACATACATTGAGAGTTTTTGTGTGTGTCACAAATGACTATCACATATCAGACATTACCTTTTTAAGAGGTAGAGGAGAATCTTCAGGAGTGCACCCTGAGGCAACTTCATCACCATTAACAAGCACATCTACCAGACTAGAGACTAGTGGAGGGTGAGACATTATGAGAAGTATCTAGTAAAGGAACAAGAAATCATTGCATAAAAAGTTACCAGTTTTGATTATAAAATAAGTACTAGTGTACAGTATTACGATGAACATGTTTGCTACTTACTTGAGAAAGAAGGAAAAAGGCTACCATAACACCAAGGCGAGGTGTATCCTATAAACAAGAATATGAAATTAATTTTCCAGCCTCCAATGAACTAACTTCACCAGTGGAAGATCATCAAATTTTTTATACCTTTTTATCACTAAAAGTGAGAAGCATCTAACTTCTCCCAACAGTATCCCCCCTGAATGAAACACTAGGATCACATCAATGAAGGAATTGATTGCAAACTCAAGAAACTCTTGATTGTTAAACAAATTCTCCTTGTAAGTAAGAAATGCATAAAAAACAGTATGGAGAACTTGCAAACTGATATTTGGGTGTAAAGGGTTAAAGCTACATTGACCTAACATCTAAAATGAACGAGTTAAAACATCGAAATTGTTCTCAAAGGGGATATAATCAGCATTCAATTCAGAAAATATTAAATAATTAATAATTCTGGAAATATTAAATAATTATTCAGTACTTCTTTAGTGCTACTCATTCCAAACATACCTGCTCCAAATCAGGTCTTTTACGCACCAGAGAATAAATGTACAGTGGAATCAACAAACGGTTAATAAAATGCCCAGTTAGCACAATATTCACATCTTGTATGTTGAGTGACAGTATGTCATGAAGGTAATGAAGATGATCCAGATGCTCTGCAACCAAGTCCTTCAGTCTGTCACATTTTAAGTGGCTAAAAATTGTAGAAATCAAATATTATTTACACTACAATTTTTGTTACTCAAAGGCTACCTACATCTGTTTACAGTATGACTAAAATTGATGGTACGTAAAGTTGTTTAGTGTACACTCAATATAATTTCATTAGACTGGATTTCAACATATTAGTATTTTGTATTTGACATAATAATGTGTGATTCAATTGAATTTTGAGATGAGAACCTTTTGTGATGCATGTCGTGTGCCCCTACAGCCTCCAATGATTTTCTTTGTTAGCCTGTTGTGACCGAAGTGTTCCATTGAATTTGTTGATAGGTTTGTGATGGAAGTACAGAAATATGATAGCTGATTTGGGTTGATTCATTGTGAGATTGGAGTGACAAGTGAGTAGGAGATATAATAGTGTATTTCAAACCAGTGTGATTGTTTGCCCTGAGATCATTTACGACATGCCCATGACCACCTAGTGCCTCAACTTTACCTACTTTTCAGAGAATGTCAGGACTACAACAACATTCATTTACTACAATGTAACCATGCACTATGTTATCAGTCATCTCCGATCTTGACAAAAAAAAATGTGTATTGAACATCCTGTATAGTAGTGCAACTTACTGGTAACACGTTCAACATCTACCCAGGCTACACTTCATGGAGATATTTTAGTAATACAGATTACCAGTGATTAGTTCAACAGCTTTAAAAAAGATAACTTACTGAGACTCTTTGCGAACACAGTTGTCAAGTTCAATAGCATGATTACCAATAAACCACACCAGGTTCCAAAAATATGGATCTGCTGTTTTGTCTCGGATGAAACCAAGCATGTTCTTATCTCCAACTGCAATAAAATGCAGCAGATCAAAATAAACCAATTTTAAAAATTATACTTCAAATGCTGCTACCTCAGACACAAATATACTGGGCTACCAACTTCTCTTAGATGCCAGTTGTGATATCTGTATTGACTCTCTATTTCATTCGTCACTTAAGTTTTATGGAAATAAATTTGAAATAGAGGAGATAAAAATTAGACTAAAGCTAAAACTGAACTATTACATTCGCATGAAGCACGAAGAAAGGAGGGCTCTGTGGCATGAGCAGTTGCCTCTCAACACTTCAGTCTGAATTCAGTTTCCAGCACTAGGGTCACAAAGACATTGAGTCATAGCCTGTTCTCATTCAAGCACCAGAGGCTTTCCTCTGGGTTCCCTGACACTCAATTCAGTTAGCAGACCAAGAACCCATCCATGAGTACTGCTTCCTCCACTTTATTTAATCTTACACCCTTATTTTCAATTTGCTTTTTGCACATGCACACAATTGAAAATATAAATATTTAATTAATCACTCTCTTAAAATCATTAACTTCCTCATTCATCAAAAAAAGCAGTAGACTTGTTCACCTCTGTAAACATTTAGTGTAAGAGTCCTAACAGCTATCCTAACCATGCTTTCAGAATGGTTGAAGAACTTGATAGCTTCAGTGTATAAAGGAAAATCATTCTTGTGCTAAACAACAAGACAAAAGTATATTTTACATTTATGAAGACACATTTACAGTGAATTAAAATGGTCCATGCTGATAACTTTGCAGGTAGGGTCCTCTGTGACTGTGAATAATATTTCAAGCTCAATTAATTAATTTTCCATTCATTTCTTTTTTTCTAGAAATAATGGTAATACATTTGGAGAACTGGAGCAGTGAATTTTCTTTGTTGGCCTATCTTTCAAAGAAAATATAATACTTTTTCTATTAAAAATTAATTTATTACACTTGTTTCAGGCTTGGGAATTAAAAAGATTCAAATGATCACTTACCTCATTAAAAAAGAAGTGAACTGTATGCCTGTTAAGCTTGAGTGATAATGTCTTCAGAAATGAAATATAATATGCTAATACCTGACAAAAAAGGATAAGAAGATGGGATTATTTTGCTTATAGCTGGGATTTCCATCTTCCCATACAAAGAAACTAAGAACAGAGCTGCATATGAAAATTTTACTCAGTCTAGAAGGAAATACTAGTCTGTTGCCAGTTAAGTTGAAAAGTTGTTATCAGTGCAATGTTCTTAGTAATGTACAGAGTTCTCATTTTCAAGTGGTAGCTGGTAAAATTTACCACTTGTAGTAACTGATTACAGTCTAAAAATTTGTCGGAATTCTTCAAAATTTGAAAGGTAAAAAAGGATTGTTCTGTCAGCTTGAAATGTCTTTAACCTGTTGTGCTTGAAATAGGGGAGAACACAGAATGTGGGAAGGCCCATGATCAAAAGCAAGCAGCTCACAGACCAATGCAGTCATATTCTTAGCTGATGGCCAGCTCTAAATAAAAGCCCTAAAATAGGGCATTTTATTTCTATTAAATTAACAAGTGCATTATAATTAAGTCTCTTTGGCATCTGTCATTTGGACTTTTTATTTGGAAAGTATTATTTTTTAGACCAGCCCAAAAGACTGCTAGAATGGAAACTACATATACAGTGTACATGCAAAACAGTTAAGCCGAAGAAATTAATAGAACCATCTCAAGCACTGAATATTGGCTTCTGAGGATCTTACCTCTTCATCAGAAAAATCAAACTTGTGAATTATAATGGAGTTGACATGGTTATTTGATAACAAATAATCTGTTAAAAAAAAGAGAAGTGCCTCTGATATTATACACCAACAGGTACATGTAATTTATTTCAACTGCCAATATTAAATACATTATTGGAAATGGAATAACACATTGAACTGCAAAGATCAGTCAATATTTCTCTGATTCAAAAAGCACAACACAAGGCTTGTGCATCTTTTAAAACTTATCCAAATTCAAAAGTGAGAACTGTATTATTGCTTTTGAGGAAATTTCTTAAAATGGAAAAAAAGCAAATCAGTTTATTTTTCAACTTGTCATATGAAAAACAAGAGGCGCTATCACAGTTAGCTTTCTTTCCTAGTGCTTGAAAATAAATAAGCCATTCTTGATTCTCATTGAAGCAAAATCTGTTTCCTATATAATAAATCCTTTATTGACCAAGCTTGTTCAGTCAAGATAGCTGGAGATTAGCCTCATTCTTTTTTTGCATTCTAATGGACCTTAACTTTGTCTCAGTCTGTAAAAATGTAAAAAAAAGGACTCGGCCAATATCCAGCCTTCTTGACCTTGCACTTGGTCTTGGTCAAAAAAGCATATACAGGTATCTCATCAATAGAAAAAGAAAAGCAATAAAATTAAGTCTACTCACATAGAGATGTCTCGTTTCTGATGTTTTCAAACAAGATACTGAGAGTCTGCAGGAGCTGGACACAAATCTGATTGGATTTCTGACTCATCATCTTTAGAAAATACAGCAACATACTCTTCTCCAAGAAGAAGCTAAAATCAGTCACAAACAAATGTCATAGTTATATACTATCACTAGCTTATCAGTTTATAAGCATGATCAATAACAAAGGCATGCAATCAAAGTATTTAATTCTCTAAAATTTTTCACCACCCCGGCATGCGGCTTAGCAGCTCAGGTGACAGTAGCACCAAACTAGGATTTTGAAGGTTGGAATCCTGTCAAAGCCTAAATCTTTTCAGGCTTTTTTTTCCTGTAATGACTTAAATTGTTGTCCACCCACAAGAATCATTTCATTGCTTGATTTTTGTCCACAGTTCAAATTAAATTTTGAAGTTATTTGTCTCCCACACTTTATAGAGAAATTTATTTATTAATTTTTTAGGTGTTGAGGAATTTCCCAATACCTGAGCAAAACTTTCCTCTTATTTTCATTCAGACAAACGTTGTACATGCATTATCAATATTTACAATATAGAATAGTTGCAGTAATTTTATTGACAAAATCATGATAACCCTGTAAGTGGCAAAATTACATTGCATTGCAGCTTTTACACTTGTATCCTGACAAAATTTTACAGAAGCTTTTCATCAATATTCAAACACTTATCATCTTTGTTAATAATTCAAAGCGAGTATATCAAGTGACAAAATTTGCAACACAGTTACAATGCACACTTGCAGTAGTTTATCATCAAAAATGCTTATCTTGTGATTAATTTGAGTCCAAAGATCAAATTTCCTTTTTTTTTTTTTAGAATTTCTCCTTCTGCTTTAATATTAACATAAAGATTCTACCTCAAAAGCAAGCAACTGTCACATTTTCTTTAAATATTCAAACCACATTTAATACCACAAAAGGTACTACATGGTGTTGTGTTAGATACATATAATGAATATATGTTTGTTTTAGAATAGTCACCATGTTGTTTTAGATTGCCCTCCAAACCATCCAAGATATTGTGTACTCAGCTTTGCAAAATATGTATTCCTTTCCTATCAAATGTGTTTATAAAAATCATTCGAAAGCATTCAACTGCTAATATTATTATTAAATTAAATGTATGAAGCTGAGAAGAACCTACTCAAACACTCTGCTGTCATTTTGGTCTCCCCATATTAAGATCTCCGCGATTGAGCGCAAAGTCTCCACAAGTAATCCTCTATTCGTCTCATTCACGGTAGAATTCTTGGTAAGAACGTAATGGAGATATCTAAATAACAACCCAGAATGTTTGTATAAGTAGCTGACTGAGTATCAGCAATTATTTACAATTCAATGTACATTAAATTAAAAATTGCGTTATTATTCACTATCTTGACGGAAGAAATAAAGTATCATTATTACTGATCAATAATACAAACACCAAACTGGTCCTGTGTCTACTTGAAATGTTTGCAAACACTTCAAGACAGTAGGCGTACATGATAACGTTTCCCAACATCTTGCTCAGATCTACCATAACACAGTACCTTAACTGCTCAAGAGAATGAGCCTTTTTGGGTTTCCACAGCACATCAGAAATCCAGTTCTTCTGACGCTGAAACATGTCACCATCCAGCTTGCTGTTGGAAGTAAAACGTCCACAAAAAGACAAGACACACCACCACTTGTAGGCTGTTATTCAGAAAGGAAGGAAGACATATTTAATTTTCGACCGTCCACGTCACGTGATGAAACCGCGATTGGCCAGCTGAGAATTGGATGTTCTTACACAACATATCCATTGATAATAAAAAATTGTTGTCGTCCTGAGTCCTGAATAGTTTAAGGTGATCGGTTTGGATAGCTACTTACATCTCAATTTTCTAACCTAGTAATGTCTCAATCAGGAGATCGCCTAAAGCAGTTAGAGGAGATCGAAAAGGTTTGTATTGATTTAGCTTGTAAGCATCAAAATTTTCGCGCCGTCATTTAAACAGCATGCATGGTTGAATTACATTCAAAGGGCGCTTACGAACTGTAAATGTCACTTTTATGCATAGGATGTAGTGAAAGTAATAAGGAGTGCAGGAGAAACCTTAGAAGAACTTTCGAAAGACGCACCTTCAGAAGATCGTATCAATTCAACAGCTACGAAGTTCCTAAAGTCTTTAGAGGTAAGACTGCAAGCCAATTAATACAGTAATTAGTTAACATGGATCATTACTTTGGTTTTGCTTTACTTCGCTCTGTAATTGGCCTAAAAATCTCGTTCCACCATCCTAACCAATCAAATGCAAAACGAAAACCAATCCCAATTCTCCCGCGCTTCAAGAAGGTTGCCTGTTTTTAATTCGAGTTCTCATTGGTTTATGATGACGTTAATCTTTGTTTCGATTGGCCTTTATGATGGCTTTAATTTTGGTTTTTTGACATCCCAACTGGAAACTGCTCTATTAGTTCTATGAACAGCATCATTTTTCAATATCATGGACATTGATCAGCATTGATCAAATAGTCAACTGGTATTTTACTTGGGGGATGTGGTGGGGAGTTTTATTTGCATGGTTGCAATAGAGGTGGAGAATTTTACATGGTAGGAGAGGGGTGGGGGATTTTAACAGATGCTTGCAAATGTGTCTACACATTCACAAATACTTTAAAGTTGATGGATGTCATTGTAAAGTCTTTAGAGGCTAGATGCCTTCAAGGAAATCTGCCTCTCTGTCACACATCATGACAGGAAAACAAGGCTCTCTTTACCAGTATAAACACAGAGCATGGGTGATAGGAGAGATAATTGATTTCCCTTTTATGATTCTTTTAAAATCAGGAGATGACAAGAGACAATGTTGCTCAAAGAGATTTTATACTTGGTGGTTATAGTAACTCCTTAAGGAATCTATTTCAGTAAAGTTGCTGAAAGAACTAATTTGTTTTTGTATTTCAATAATAAGGGTGTAGAAAAAGGCCTAACTGAACAGATTGGTTACCTGACCCAAGTTGCCACTGGCCAACCACATGAAGGATCTACTTATGGAGCTGAAAAGGTAACAACTTATCAGTCTAAGTTGTTTGATAATAAAATAAATGTGTGGGATAGTAATTTTGATGCCAAAAATTTACAAGCTTTATCCATAAATTTTTATCACCCTTTTCAGTTTTGAAATCATAGTTTAGTTACCACTAAGTTCAAACTTTACTTCAACTTTGTAGCCTGCAATGTCCCAAGTTGACCAAATGTGTTTTTTAATTGAAAATTATCTTTGTTATTGCCTAAAACATTCAACTTGTTCAGTTCTTCTTTGACTCCTCGGAGATATCAGGCCTAACAAGCTGTTATATCCCTTCTGTGTCATGTTTTAATTTTTGTCAGCAGTCTAACTGACATGAAGAGTCCTGTGCAGTGTGTAAGGTACTGCTTCTCTCTTTGTAGGATTTTGAGTTATTGCGCTGCAGAACAAAAGCTATTAAAGATCAGTTGGTAGAGATTCAACGTCAAGGGACACTTCAAGTATCAGACATAAATTGATATGCGTTTCTCAAGAGACTCTTTGGTCCTCTACTCTCAGTTAGCTCTTAACTTGAGGATGCAGTGGGTGCAGTGATGCCTGTAATGATCTTCAACATTGAATCAATGGAGCCTGTGAACTTCAGTCTTGACTGAATCTATAATGTTCCAGGCCCAGTTGTGTAAAAAGCAGATAACTCTATCCAATGGATAAATTACAATCCAACCGATAAGTGATACCAAATTGTATAGCATTATTCACTGGATAGAGTTTTATCCAGTGGATACCAATAGCATTATCCAACTTTTGAACAACTGAGGCATGGAGTTTAGTTGTTTCAGATATTAATTAGAGAGAAAGCAAAGGTATTTTAAAGAGTCTAAGGAAGGGGTGCAGAATTATCAAGTGTCTTTAAAGCAATATCTAGTCATCCTTCTGTTTCACATGAGGATACAAGAAGATTTGGAAGGAGAATTAAGAATTTAGTCAGAAGTTACACAAGGCTTTCTTTGGTGAACATGTCTTCAGTGAAAGGATGAAAATAGTCTGTGATGAAAAATAATGAAAAGGGAATGGGAGGTGAATGATAAAAATAGAATACAAAAATAGCAACATTTGTCTAAGAAATAACATGTGCAGACAAAGAGGAAGTAGACTTGAATAGAATGCAAATTCTGTAGGAACTTGCTAAAAAAGACAAAGTTATTCACAATTCAGAAATCATGATGTACATGCAGTTCCAGAGCATTATGGAATAGTATGGGAATAGGGCACCTAATCAAGAGCCTTTTTCAGTGAGTTATTTACTTACTGTGTTAGTATCTGTGAACCACTTCCTGGACAGATCAATAGAGTACTGAATTAAATTGTTTTTAATCCTCCTCAAAAACTTTTTTGTTTTTGGCTTACATAAGCTGTGTATCTCTTCAGTTGAACCTCATTTTTCAAACTGTCATCTTAACTTCATGGTAAGCTAGGTAATGCGGTTCTCTGATAACACTGTGTTCCCTGTATCATGAAATTATTTAGCACATTATTTTCATAGATAATGTATTATTTAGCTCCTCATTGTTGTAATCTTAGCTACGAGAGGGATCACATCTTTTCTCTCTCAGAATTTGAGACACGCTATATTGAAGTTTACTGTTTTACAGAAATATCAAACGGCACACAACAAACTGTTACGGTTTGTCACGTTTTATCGACAAATCACTCTTTGAATTACTGTCTAATTACTATCTTTAATAATGTTTTCTTCTGGCTACAAGCCATTAACTAATTTAGATGCAATCCTTCGTGGCTTTAGAGTTTTTAAAACTCTTGGAAATTGTAAATAAACCCTTTAAAGCAGTAATTCCGATAGTTCTCGTCTATGATTCAAATATTTACTCTGCACTCCGGCTTTCAGAAATACTTCCCGGTTGCGGACTGAGTGACGAAGAAAGAGTTTGTCCTTTCCTTCGTACGTTCAACAGACATTTTCAAACCTCTTAATTTCCTTAACTCCTTGGCTTTGCTGGTAATTATATCGTGCTTTTCCTTTGCCTCTCTGAACTCTGCTCGAAAAGTCTTGAGGTAAAATCGCCTTTCCTCTTCCAGATGTCGTAATTCCCTTTCTAAATAGGTGTCATAAAGTCTGTTGACTTTTCGAACATATTCCTCCGCGTCTCTCGACTTTGCTGTCATTCTGTGAGAACTCCGCGGTCGTTCACCTCTTATTTTAATATTTTCCAACAAAGCTGATGATGTTATTAAGAAATCCTCGCGTTAATTTTGTATTTGTCCACAGGTGCACTGCCTCAGAACGACCAAAAGTTTGTAGAGAACTCAGAAAATTACACATAACCGTCTCTACAGGCCTAAAATTAAACTTTTTTTTTCTTAATGGTGTTCATGGCAACATTGATATTGACGCTCTAGATAAATTATTTATCCGTACGTCAAGCTTCAATATTGCACCTGCGACCACATGAGTCTAATAAAATTGAAAACAAACGGAAATTAGATAGAGATGGCCCATCCATTCATACGATTCCCGCCGGTAAGTATTCAATCTTTTCTCTGTAGAGTTATGTCAGAAAAAACTGAATATTGGATGAAATTTACATTTGTTTGTCAGTTCGGCGGTATTTTCGGTAAATGAACAAAGGGGTTGTCAGTTTTAAAGAACTATGGCGCTACGTCGATGGGGAGAAAAACGAGATAATTCAGTTTATTCAATTGAGTTTCTGAGTTAATAATGTAAATTGTCACCGTAAAGAGTTTCTAAAGCCGTGATGTTTCGAGCGTTTGCCCTTCGTCCGAGCGTACGTTTTTTTTCTGATGGTTACGTTTTCCTTTTCGGCGAATTTTATTTGAAAAAAAAGAAGACAAGAGAAGAAAACGTTAGTGCAGGCAGCTGTAGAGATACGTGGAGTGGCCTGGGTGGTGCAGCTGATGTAACGAAGATAGAAATAAACTGTGTATGAGTATGCGCATATTCAAACAGACAGGTGATAAGAATTAATGAAGTTATCACAGGATGTTAAGGGATGTTCCTCATTCGACAACAATATTCCCTTTAAACGTTCATTCCTTGCAAGTGGCACTAGATTATGGAACAACCTAGACAGTGCCACTAGGGGTCTCACTTCCCTTTGTAAATTTAAAAATCAACTATATAAGAAATATATAGATCGGAACTCCAGAGTTGATAATTTTACTATAAGCAGAAGTTTTAAATTAATTTTTAATTTTAATTCTAATTTTTAATTTTTAATTTTAACTGTATTTTTACTTCGTATTTTTGCTATTTGAATTTGAAGTTTTAGTTGATCACAATGAGAACTACAGGTTCTACCGGTAATTCTGTTATCCAATAAAGTCATTATTATTATTATTATTATTATTATTATTATTATTATTATTATTATTATTATTATTATTAACTGTATGGCCACTATCGTAGCCTATGAGCAAGCTCTCATTCGCCCCGTGGCACGAGCGAGAAAGCGCTCGTGCAAGTAAAACCATGCGTGCACGTGCATGCGTTTGTACTCCTCTGTTACGTCACAAATAGAAAAACGTCCGTTGCACAAACTGATCACTCTGTCCACAACCGTTTTTGTGAGGAGGTAAAGTTCTGTCAATTGTATCAGTGAGTTATGGAAGATGGTGAACTTCAAAGGTGCGTTTCAGTCTCTTGTGTTAGTGCAATAATAGAGAGTGAGACATAAAACAACTCCTAAACGCAATGATTTAATCTGAAACTGAGTTTCCTTTTACCTTTCCATCTTCAAGTATGCCATTCAGAGACTGTAATTCGCAGAGTGGGAACCGCTCTCTTTTAGGTAGTATACTATCATCTGGAAACGTTTCGTTGGGTGGCATATTGTTTTTAACCGTTAACCGACTGATAGCGATAGTTGATTGAGTATCCAATTTATAGAGCGCATGTGCATTAACTGTCACAAGAACATAACCACAGCCAATCAGAATAACGCCACAAGGAGCCAGTGAGAATTCTAAGTAAACCCGTGAACTTCGTCAAGCGCGGGAAAATGATTGTGTCCATGAAGCCGTTACTCTGGTTTTTCCCTTTGATTGCTTGCGTGAATGGGGGCGAGTTTTCGTCACCAATAAGGTTACGCAAAACTATCGATATCGCAAATTAATTTCAACACTCAACAAGAAATGCTCGATGCCGTTATCAACGCTTTAAACACTCTAGGCTACTACCAAAGTTTTTTTTGGTTTTTTCCTTTTTTTCTATTTTCTCATATTTCGTCGTGTAGATAGTGGGTATGAGAGCTACCTCTAACATCTTGAGAGTTGACGGTTATCAAAAGCGACACAAAAATCAAGACTAAAATTGAACGCATAATATTCCATTTTAATTCCCTACAAGCAAAGGTGAAATTACGATTCACGTTGAAAATTGTAAGTTCCACGACACAATGTAAAATCTGCAAAAGAAACTCTCTTTTCGGCAAGAAAGTACAACACTTAGTGGACATTTCTACAGCTACAGATAAAACTTACAATTTACCGGTAAATCAAAGTGCAATTGGCCAATAAATGAGCAGTTTGAGACAATAATAAGGGTAAAGCACTCTACACGCTACGAAGGTAATATTGAAAATAATTCGAATATAATATAATGAAAAATTGCCTGTTTATCTTATTTAAACAAGGCACCAGCTTTATCGGCCGCAACTGAGCCTGAAATATTCCAGATCAATTCGAACTCTTAGGTTATCTTTATCACTTGTGACAATAAGAAAAAAATCGCTCGCTATTCTCACTCGTGGGAAATCGACGGATAAACTCGGCTGCGGGGTTACTCTTCCACTTCGATAATCTCCTCTTTAATAAAGAATTCCACTGACTCATCTTCAAACTCTTCTGCGTTACTATCAATCTCGTCTGTATCAATACCTACAATGGAGACAAAAAAAAAATCGGCGTCAGCGGTCTGATGCAACTTAGAGCAGCAACACTGCGGTTCGAGAATCACGAACAGTTTAGCCCACATTATTTTAAGCCCGTCATAAGAATTTTTTTTCAATCTTGTCAATTCTAATAATTGTAGGATAATAAGCCATCGCAGTCAACCTCGGGCAAGGAATACGTCGAGCTTCTCGAGTGAAGAGAAGCACTGTGAGAACAAAGCGTCTTTCCCAGGAACACTCAAGCGGGAAAGGTTGTACCCAGGAAAAGCTGTATGAATTCAGCAGGGTTTGTCAATCTTAAGGTCCTCATCTGTTCCTTACCGTTGCGCAACTCCAAGCGCTGCGCCTTCTGCTGTGCAAACTCGTTGTTTTTCTTTTGCCTGTAGCCCTGAAAGTCTTTCATCTTTCGCCGCCGCCTTTCAATTAACTCCTGGAAGAAAACAAGCAAAGATGACGCGATGAGTTTAATTGAAGCACAAGAAATTTATCTAAGGGTTGAAGGGCGTAGCTGGGAGAGGGGTGGGAAGGTTAGGATGCATTTAGCAAAAAATCTTAAAACCTGTCGCGGGGAAATTTAGGATGGGCTTAAGCATCACGCGGCATCCCGCAGCATTAGCCCCGAAGACGAACCTCGCGTTCTACTCTTCCTCCACACATACACCATTTGCAACCGACATTGAGATGTCATGCAGCGATGCCAAGAAGGAGGTTTCTGTCTTTAGAAATTTTTGACTATGGTAACTTGAGTAATAGTGATTCGCAGTTATTGAACACGAATGCAGAAATAGTTTGCAAAAATTATTTGTGTATCGAAATGGAACACTTTTTTGTACTGTATTAAATTGCTTGGCAAATTCAAACTCGGTAAGAAGATTGAGCAAATAAGCAATAAAAATTTAGTTTGTTTTTAATCCATTTTCTTTCATATTAACTGTAAATGAATGTTCGCTGAGTGTCTAGTTTCGGTAATCTTTCCTCTTTTTAAGTTTCTTTTCTCTCTGCAAATGAATATCATCTCTCCACCGCCTCGATTAGCCTTTTCTGCTATTAGCGGCGTGAGAGTACCTGCACTTTATGTATTTGTTTAATTAATAATTGGCTATACTTTTTGTGAGCTAATAAATATCAGTTTCCTTTCCTTCAACATTGTTCCAAAAGCGAAAGAAACTCAAGAGCCTTAGGAGAAAAGATGACAAAAGGATAGCCGAAGGCAAACACAACACACAGTCGCTAAAGAAGCAGAACCCTGAAACACAATTGAGGGCCTGAAATAGGCTACATGTCAGAGGGAAAAAATAAACACAAACTGAATGATGTATGTATGAATAAGAGCAATCCGTCACCGATCACAGAAGCTGTTCCTCACCTTAGAAGCTCGTGACTGGCTCATTCGATCCTTGATCTCAAACATGCGCTGGAACTTCTTGATGTCTTTCTTGATATTCTGCAAGAGAAAATAATTCGTGTGTCACCAGAAAAATCAACCTATTGGTAATTACTTAGGAAAAACTAAAGGATATCAGTTTTGAAACTATTGGCCAATCAAAAGCCAGGAAAATAAGAACTCCGCCTGAGCCCTTGATCCATGGCGCTAACCAAAAGGATTGCAGCTCAAGGGAACACGAGAAGACTTTCAACAAGGAACAGAGTCTATATCTTTGTTCTAGCTTATTCAGAAAATGGACCCTAAAAAGTTTACTTTTACATGAAGGCAACAAAGTTTTGAGTACAAATACAAGGTATAAAGATTGGCCCCCAGGCCCTTCTACCTTCATATCGTCCTCTGAAAGGAGACTTGGAGGTCTGGGCCTCCACAGAAGTTGACAAAACTGATCTAAAGCGTGACGTTGAAGAAGCTTGCCTTGGAATGACCAGATATAGTAACCATTATCTACCTACAGGGAAGATACAAATGGCAAAACATCATTACATACAATGGTAACAAACGCGGAAGGCCATCGTTTACATACCACGCGTCTCTAACACCTTGCAACGACACAGTGTAGAAGAGCTATTTTTCAAATTTTTAATCACAAGGGAATATCACCCAAATTGCAACAGAATGGCCCAGCTGCTTCAAATCTGTTGCAGCACAATGGCAGAGCATTTGAAGTACTAATTAATCAGAGCCTCGTCAATTCGACACCTTTTCGATGAACATGGTAGACTTGTGTCAGTGACAGAAGAATGGCGCAGCCTAGTGTCGAAAATACTCCATGACTACTTTGGTTTTACATAACTTTGCTCTTTGATTGATTGGCCCAGACATCTTGCAGCACCTTTTCAACAGATCAGATTTAAACCAACCGTTGTTTGATCGCCCGCGTTTCATGCATTTTGCCAGCTTTTACTTTGCGTTCTCATGTCGACCCTCACTCCTATCAGCTTCTGTAATTACTTAGGTTTTCGTTCTTCGAAAGTCATCTAAAAACTGCTCTATCACCTACCTAAAACTAACGACCTCATGGAGACAAAAACTTTGTTAAAACCTTTGTAATCAACGACATTATGATTTTTCTTAGACAACTAAATAAATCAGAAACTAAGTAACAAAATTTCTTGCACCACATATTCTCTGAAAAATCTCCTAAAAGTATCAAACGAAAAAAAGAATGACACAGTCCCTCTGACTGTCCAATTGTGTTGTAAACCTTGACATGAGTGTCAGCCTACTTCACAAAACTGGCACTGAAGACCACGCTTACATTTATATTCCTCCTATTGAAAACAAAACCACCAACACAACTAATCAGT